CTATAGTCGGACGGTGGAAGGAATACCTTGAGGAGCTCCTCAATCCCACCAATGCGCATTCCGAGGAGGAACCAGAGCTGGGAGGCCTGGGGATGGACTGTCCGATCTCGGGGGCAGAAGTTGCTGAGGTAGTCAAACAACTACACAGCGGAGGAGCCCCGGGGGCGGATGAGGTTCGTCCTGGGTATCTCAAGGCTATGGATGTTGTAGGGCTGTCATGGTTGACACGTCTCTACAACATTGCGTGGTCATTGGGGGCAGTTCCTAGGGAGTGGCAGACCGGGGTGGTGGTCCCCATCTTTAAGAAGGGTGACCTGAGCGTGTGTTCCAACTATAGGGGGATCACACTCCTCAGCCTCCCTGGAAAGGTCTACGCCAAGGTACTGGAGAGGAGGGTCCGATCGATAGTTGAATCTCAGATAGAGGAGGAGCAATGTGGTTTTCGTCCTGGCCGTGGAACTGTGGACCAGCTCTATACCCTTGCAAGGGTGATGGAGGGGGCATGGGAGTTTGCCCAACCAATCCACATGTGCTTTGTGGATTTGGAGAAGGCTTATGACCGTGTCCCCAGGGGCACCCTGTGGGGGACGCTCCAGGAGTATGGGGTGGGTGGCTTTCTGTTAAGGGCCATTCAGTCCCTTTACCAGAGGAGCGTGAGTTTGGTCCGCATAGCCGGTAGTAAGTCGGACCTGTTCCCAGTGAGGGTTGGACTCCGCCAGGGCTGCCCTTTGTCACCGGTTCTGTTCATCACTTTTATGGACAGAATTTCTAGACGCAGCCGTGGTGTGGAGTGTGTCGAGTTTGGTGGCAGGAGAATCTCGTCTCTGCTTTTTGCGGATGATGTGGTCCTCCTAGCTTCATCCAGCTCTGACCTTCAGCTCTTGCTGGGTAGGTTCGCGGCCGAATGTGAAGCGGCTGGGATGAGGATCAGCACCTGCAAATCTGAGACCATGGTTCTCGACCGGAAAAGGGTGGCTTGCCACCTCCGGGTCGGGGGAGAGGTCCTACCTCAAGTGGAGGAGTTTAAGTATCTCGGGGTCTTGTTCACGAGTGAGGGTAGGAGGGATTGGGAGATCGACAGGCGGATTGGTTCGGCGTCTGCAGTGATGCGGACGCTGAGCCGATCTGTCGTGGGGAAGAGGGAGCTGAGCCAGAAAGCCAGGCTCTCGATTTACCGGTCGATCTATGTCCCAATCCTCACCTATGGTCATGAGCTTTGGGTAATGACCGAAAGAACGAGATCGCGGATACAAGTGGCCGAAATGAGTTTCCTCCGTAGGGTGGCCGGGCTCAGCCTTAGAGATAGGGTGAGGAGCTCGGACATTCGGGAGGGACTCGGAGTAGAACCGCTGCTCCTCCGGATCGAAAGGAGCCAGTTGAGGCTGTTTGGGCATCTGGTCAGGATGCCTCCTGGACGCCTCCCCGGGGAGGTGTTTCGGGCATGTCCTGCCGGCAGAAGGTCCCCGGGTTGACCCAGGACACGTTGGAGAGGTTACATCTCCAATCTGGTCCGGGAACGCCTTGGGGTCCTGCCGGAGGAGCTGGTGGACAAGGCCGGGGAGAGGACGGCCTGGAGCTCCCTAATTGGGATGCTGCCCCCGCGACCCGGACCCGGATAAGCGGAGGAAGACGAAGACGAAGACGAAACTACATCTCTTTTTTTGTAAAGGAGAAAAACTGACAACCCCCAGCTGGCTGAGGAGGAAATCTGTTTCTATGTAGCCCTCTTTCCAACATGAATGAGACATTAGACTGTTTAATGATTATTTCTCTGTAAAATTCTGAGGCATTGTATCTTTAAGCTAAAGGCTTCTTCTTCATTATATAATCAAAAAAGCAGAACTTAAGGATCAATGAGATTAAAGCAGACATGGCATGTAACTGAATTGCTGAACCTCCTCCAGTCAATATTAAATACATCCACACAGGATGTAAGCAATATTCCATGACTTGGCATTCCTTGTCCATTCTGTTTACTGTGCATTATAATAAAATTTAATGACATTGCTGTTTTCCAACCCCCACAAAGAAGCACTGACTAAACTACTTGCATCAGTCCGTCTCCATTCTCCTAATATTCGACCTACTTTACTGTATAAGCCGTCTAGTCTGTTTTGGTTTGAAGATGAAACATTTGTGACCTATAAAAACACGGAGCACTGCTTTTCTGCGTCTACACAACACAACACCAGCTAATCTTGATGGTAATATTTCTTAACACACTGAGTGCCACAAAGCAGTTTCAGTCCATCATATCATGATCAGCATATCTTCTTACTGGTGTGCAGAAAGTGTTGCAGATGGAATGGATTCAATCCTGGATGTGAAAGTGGGTGAAATTTAAATCAGCCTGAATACTCTCAAGAAATGAAAGAATGAAATATGTAACAGGGAATGGTTTCTGTTTATGACTTTTGCAGGTCCCATATGTGAGTAATAAAATAATGAGATGTTTCAGATATTTTTACGTGGAGTTCTGAAAAGGGTATAAACAAAATCTGTTACATTTGAATTGACTTGTTTTAGTTGTTTATGCCTGTTTAACTGTATTTTTGTGTTTGCCTATCTTGGCCAGGTCTCCCTTGAAAAAGAGGTTTTTGATCTGTATAGGACCTTCCTGGTTGAATATAAATTTGAAAAATAATGGAAAACTTGGAAAGACAGATTCATTTTCATTGGAAAGTTGAGCCAATGGCTAGCCTGAGTCAGGCTAGATAATGTTTCTATTAAATACAACTCATATCTGTTTTTTTCATAGCAGTTCAATAAAATATAATTTCATAAATGTGGAAGCAAGGGTGTGCAGTGGTGCTGTTGCCTTGCAGCAAGAAGGTCCTGGGTTCTCTTCCCGGCCTGGGATCTTTCTGCATGGAGTTTGCATGTTCTCCCTGTGCATGCGTGGGTTCTCTCCGGGTACTCCGGCTTCCTCCCACAGTCCAAAAACATGACTGTTAGGTTAACTGGTCCGTCTAAATTGTCCTTAGGTGTGAGTGTGTGTGTGGTTGTTTGTCCTGTGTGTCTCTGTGTTGCCCTGCGATGGACTGGCTCTCTGTCCAGGGTGTACCCCGCCTGATTGCCCGTTGACCACTGGAGATAGGCATCAGCGCCCCCAACCCCCCCACCCCACATGGACAAAGCGGATTCAGACGATGGATGGAAATGTGGAAGCAATCACATGGCTTTTCACATAGAATTATGTAAATGGCCTGTATTTGTATAGCACCTTCTTAGGGCTCCACAACCCCTCGAGGCACTTCACACACACATTCACACACTGGTGGGGATGAGCTCTGTACCTACAGCTGCCCTGGGGCGTGCTGACAGAGGCGAGGCTGCCGAGCACAGGCGTCCCCCCGACCACCAACAGCAGGCAAGGCTAGTTAAGTGTCTTGCCCAAGGACACATCAGCAATCTGTAGTCGGAGCTGGGATCAAACCTGCAACCTTCCAATTACTGGACAATGCGCTCTACCTCCTGAGCTACTGTTGTGGTTATTTACAGCATAAATTACTTGTATGTCTAGTTATGTTTGCACTTAAGGCTGGAATTTTGAAACAGTCTTGCTAGGATATCTATGAAATGTGGTTTTTATAACAATGTAAAGGTTATAAAGTTGTACTTGCATGAACAATTTGGAAATCTTTGAGACTGGAAAATTTCTTTGTAGGGTCAGAAAACTAAATTGGCAGTCGAGCTACTCCATTTGTGAGAAGATGCTTTCGTTCTCATCCATGCAGCTTTGCAACTTCAAAATGAAGTATTCAAAAGCTCCTCTCATTAGAAGCAAATAGAAAAGTAGAGTATCCAGTTTTACTGAACCTACAAGGATCATCATGTCCTGGATGGTTTAAATTATCACCGGCGCTCTCATTGTGACCAGATTTTAGCTCGTCCACCCGTCAGAACACAACTCTAGTTTCCAAACCAAGACAATTCAAACTTTTACTAAATAAGAAATAAATGTAACCTTTCCACAAAATGTAATATCAAAAGATGCCTATTTTAACAATTCTCTCCCTATAAAAAGGAAGCATCCCATTTCATCTGCAGAAGGATCGCAACATGCTTTCCTTTAGGAGTTCAGAGAATTCCAAACCAGCAGACGACAGCAGTGGCGCCTGGGAACTGAATCCTCCACTGGTGGAAACAAAGGCAATTTTCTAAATGGCTTGTTTGTAGGTTTGTTTGAAATCTAAGCTTCACAGGTTTTGTTCCAAAGAGAACAAAAGATTACAACCAGGAGGAGCTCTGCATGTGACCTTGCATGTGCAAAATTTTTTTAAAGAAAACTCTGTCCTCTATGCAGATTATTATCTCATTAATCTGTTTAACCCTCTGGAGGCAGGCGTTGCAGATTTGCAACGTTAAAACCTACCTACCTGCTTACTCCACATACGTATTTCATGAGCATTTTTTTACTCAGAAGTACCCCTGAAGGACTTAGTTGTTCGTCCTTTTATCAAAACTTATTTGAGCCTGAGAGGGTTAAAGTTGGAACAGTGCCGGATGAAGGCGCCTCAGCAATGGACCAGTTTACACTCTCTCTCGTTTCTATTAATTAGCTAATGTAGTAACAAACTGAACAGTGAAGAAATACACCACTAACAGTGTAATGGACAATCTTTCAATCCCTTTTTGACTTTGTGCGTGCGTGCGTGCGTGCGTGTGTGTGTGTGTGTGTGTGTGTGTGTGTGTGTGTGTGTGTGTGTGTGTGTGTGTGTGTGTGTGTGTGTGTGTGTGTGTGTGTGAGTGAGAGAGACTCAAAGTTATTTATATTTTTTTAAGCGCTGATGTGGTTTTACAACAACATGAATGCACATTAAATTTGAAATAAAAATATCAGATTTTTAAAAAATAAACGTGGGAGCACAATGCTGTCTCGCCATTTGTAATAGAAATTTCCACCTCCCAGCTCATTGTCAAGCACAATTGATGCCAGAGCGTCGTGCCCGCTCACACTCCTTCACGTGCATGCAGACTAAAAATAGCAGCAGCCTTACCTTTCTGTACACTATCATGTTGGGGGATTCATCCGCCACCCCGTTGGTCCCCTGCCCGCTGCTGTTGGTCTGTGCCATGATCCAGTGAGTAAATCTGCCACAGGAAATGTCAGGTGCTCCTGTTGTGGACAGAAGGGATATTTTGGCCCATCAGAGGGACAATGCTTTGGCTTCGGCATCAACACATGAAATCAATGTGCAAACCTTCCAGTTTGGCTGCATGTGTGTGCACAAATTACAAGGGCTCACTGAAGGCATAGTTCAGGAAAAAATGGGTAAAGCAAGGTAAATAATGTTATCTACCAATGTGGCAAAAGTTTAAGTTGAAGAATAATAGGTGGCTTCTGAAGATGCATGTTCTCTCTCTTTTCTCTGATTGGGTTGACAGGAAAAAACATTTTACAGTTTGTTGACATTAGAGGATTCTTCACGCACTGGCTGATATCTATGAACACATCCTATCACTGAAATGGAAAGATAAGGTGAGGCAGAGACCCTGACAGCAGTAAATGCAGTAAGCCAACACACAGTCCCTGGAGGAGGCATGACACTCTACATTGCAGCTTGGATACATCTATTTGAGTAGAGCAGCCATTGTCAAAACGTGCAAGACTTTGCTAATGTACAAATATGCCTGATGCAGCTTCACCGTGTTTCCCCCCCTCTCCTTGACACCCACACGCACGGCATCCTTGCAAGGTTTTAGTCTGCAGATGGATAGCATTCAAAGAGCGGAGTCATCCAATCTGCTTTTATTATGCGGCCGGATATCGTGTCTTAATAACCACGATATGAAGCCCGTTCAGCACTCTGGACAGCTCCCGGGTCGTTTTTCTTCGCCCGATCGGCGCGTGAACCCCCAGCAAACACAGCGGGAGAAAACGGCCACCGAAGGAGGAGAGAGGAAGAGGGAGGCTCACCTGAAAAAACAAGCAGCCCGCTTTAGGTCTCCTGAGTCCTCGCAGGGGTGGAAGCCTGGTCCTTCGAGTTCAGAGCGTCAACTGGCAGACATAGGAATGTGAGGGGTATGCATTGGCAGCGGGGAGAAGCAAACATTCGGCGGACGCTCGGTGTGTGGTACAGCTCTGTCTCAGTCTCTCCTCTCCCCTCCTCCCATCAGAACGATGCTCACAATCGTGGGCGCGCCACTTTGGGAGCCGGGAGCGCGCAGACGTTCGACCAATCGCGTGTGAGGAATAAACTACAACCTGTTAGGGAAAAGTAATTGTTCGGATCACATTTTACTGTTATTCACTGCTGTGATTCCTCTGAAATCTGTGTCAACATATAAACATACCTGAGACTTATTATTATTATTATTATTACTACTATTGTTGTTGTTTTATTATTATTATTATTATTATTATAGTTGTTGTTGTTGTTGTTGTTATCATCATCATCATCATCATCATCATCATCATCATCATTACAAGGCCAAAAAGGAAAACATCTACACATTTAATTAATATGTTCTGAAGAAAACTTGATCAATTATCCTATTGATATGTTTTTATGTGATCACATGTATGACCCATATTTACCTTTGAGATCTAATAACCTTACCTTATGCAATTATTAAAAACGTAAAGAGGCAAAACGTTATTTATAATAAATAACATGTTTCCATTGTGTTTGTAACTCATCAGCATGTCAACACCCTAAAAATAATCACAGCTGATAGAAAATGTGCAGTAGATCTTATCACAAGCAGGAACCTAATTAAATATTTCAATTAATATATAAATAATGACAACCCTAACCCTAACAATGGCGTTTCTCAATTGTCTCATTCATTTTCTTTCTCTTTTTTTTTCAAAACCAGGACAGGACTTTAACACGGAGAAGAAAAACAGGTCTAAATGTTTTTTTTTAATCCAGAGCCACGATAGATTTAGGTACAAATGTACAGATTTGGTGCAGCTGAGCTGAGGCATGAACGAGACATGAACATGGTAGATGTGCACCTTGTCTCTATATGTGTTTACCTGAATAATTTCCTCTTTTGCTCTTTCGGGGCTCAAGGACAGAATGTTTGGCCATATGCAATCCATCTCTACATGAGATGCAGAACTACAGCAAAGCCATTCTATACGCCCACTGTCATGTTTTGAGGAAGATGTCTAACCCAAGACATACAGAATCAAGCACGGAGATGATGTAAAGGAAGAACAATAGTTTATTAAAATGTGGAGGTGAACTGAAGGCGTTCTGAAGATCCAACGGGAGGACGAGTCCGGAAGCGGTAACTAGGGGGAAGACCAGAGGTGAGTACTGGGAGTTGTAGTTCGGAGGAATTGTTTGTGGGCGGAACTTACGATGAGGAAGTTCGGGATGAATGCGGAGGGGAGATGAGCCGGGGTGATATCCAGAGAAGACTTGTGATTTCGGGGTGGATGAGCGGTGCTGACGAGGTGGATGAAGATGAGGCAGAGGAGAGAGAGCGTAATCGGTGGAGAGCGGGGCGGCTGGGTGGAGTCGTAATCCAGGCAGCGAACCGGAGAATAATCCTATGGTTTGGAGACGGGAACGGATCCAACGATGGTAAGTCTGTCGGTGAATGTCCAAGAGAGAAAAAAGCACAGGTTAAAACGGGTTCCAAAAGTCTCAAAGGTTCTAAGCTAAGACGACGTTCGAAAACTACGAGAGGCTTGAGTCTACCAGGCAGTAGATAATCATCCAGCGTCGAACGAGGAAATGCCTCCTCCTTTTAAAGCCGCCCCACTGATGAGTCTGATGCCGATCAGCTGCGCTCCCTCTCCTGCAGGCAAAAAACCTCAGAGATGATGAGATGATGGGCAGAGTACTCACCCCGGCTCATGACAGTACCCCCCCCCCTCAACGGACGCCTCCCGGCGTCCCAGCGGAGGCAGCTTCAAACTCCCGGATGAGGGAAGGATCCTCAATGAAGGAACCAGGCACCCAGGAACGCTCTTCCGGACCGTACCCCTCCCAGTCGATGAGGTACTGGATTCCACGCCCCCGACGACGAGAGGCCAGGATCTTGCGGACTGTGTAAACCAAACCCCCCTTGTAGAGGCGAGCAGGAGGAGGAGGGGGAGGAGAAGGACAGAGGGGACTGGAAACAACAGGCTTCACCATGGAAACATGGAACACAGGGTGAACTCGGAGAGAAGAGGGAAGGTCCAGACGAACCGTGGTGGATGAAGGGACGTCGAGGATTTTTAACGGTCCTATGAATCGAGGGGACAGCTTGCGGGTAGAGGCCTTAAGAGGTATGTCCTTGGAGGACAACCACACGGACTGGCCAGGCAGGTAGACGGGTGCCGGACGCCGCCGGCGATCCGCCAGTTGTTTGTTGCGCCGGGCCGTACGGTCAAGAGCCGCTCTGGTAGAGACCCAGGCCCTTCGAGCCCCACGAAGAAAATGGGGAACGGAGGAGGACACCGGGGACTGCTGGGGAAATAGAGAGGGTTGATAGCCAAGGGAAGACTCAAAAGGTGACTGACCTGTAGCGGTGGAAACGTGGCTGTTGTGTGCGTATTCGACCCATGGTAGATGCGTGCTCCAGGAGGAAGGGTGTGTAGAGCAGACACAGCGCAGCATGGCACCGAGCTCCTGGTTCATGTGCTCGCATTGACCATTCGTTTGAGGGTGGTGTCCAGAGGTGAGCGCCACCCGAGCTCCAAGGGCCTCTGCGAATTCCTTCCATACACGAGACACAAACTGCGGGCCACGATCTGACAGGATCTCTTCAGGAATTCCATGGAGGCGAAAGACATGTTTAACCAGGAGCTGCGCTGTGTCTGCAGAGGAAGGGAGAGATTTAAGAGGGACAAGGTGACATGCTTTGGAGAAACGATCAATAATCGTGAGAACGACCGTGAAGCCACGAGAACTGGGAAGACCACAAACGAAATCCAGGGCAATGTGGGACCAGGGACGTGAAGGGATGGGCAGAGGTTGTAAAAGCCCTGCCGGAGGACGGTGGTCCCCCTTCTGTTGAGAACAGGTATGACAACCAGAAACATAGTCTTTAGTATCTCTGTACATGGATGGCCACCAAAACGACCTCTTGATGAGGGCCACCGTTCTTCCCACCCCTGGATGCAGGGAGAACCTGCCTGTATGTGCCCAGTGGATTACCTTGCCTCTGAGTGGTTGGGGTACGTACAATCTTCCTGGGGGTCCGGTATTTGGTCCGGGGTCGGTCTTGAGGGCCTCCAGGACCTGATCGCGTATCTCCCACGTGACTCCACCTATGATACGGTTTGGAGGAAGAACAGTGGCAGGTTCAACCTCCCGATCTGAAGCGTATTGCCTGGAGAGGGCATCGGGTTTGGTGTTTTTGGAACCAGGTCTGTATGATAGTTGGAAGTTAAAGCGAGAGAAAAAAAGGGACCAGCGGTACTGAAGGGGGTTCAACTGTTTAGCCTCTTTCAGGTAGATGAGGTTCTTATGGTCTGTCCATATGAGAAAGGGTTTCTCTGCTCCCTCCAGCCAATGTCTCCACTCTTCGATCGCTAGTTTTACTGCGAGTAGTTCGCGGTCGCCAACGTCATATCTACTCTCAGCCGGGGATAGACGACGGGAGAAGTAGGCGCAAGGGTGAAGCTTCCTATCCCCCTCCGCTACTTGTGAGAGAACTGCCCCGACCCCGGTGTCAGAGGCATCAACCTCCAAAATGAACTGGCGCTGTGGGTCAGGACGGTGTAGCACAGGGGCGTTAGTGAATTTGTTCTTGAGTTCTTTGAATGCTGACTCAGCCTTGGAGGACCACACAAAGGGCTTGTTAATGGACGTCAGATTGGTTAGAGGAGCTGCAGTCTGACTGTAGTTTTTGATAAAGCGACGGTAGAAATTAGAAAAACCAAGGAACCTCTGCAGTTGCTTTCTGGTGGTGGGTGTGGGCCATTCAGTGACTGCCTGCACCTTTTCTGGATCTGCCTTTAGCCGCCCGCTCTCAATAATGAATCCCAAGAACTTTACTGCGGAGACATGAAACTCACATTTTTCCGCCTTAACGTAGAGACGGTTCTCCAGCAATCGTTGTAACACCGCCCTCACATGTTGGATGTGCTGTTCCTGGTTCTGAGAGAAGATCAATATATCATCTAGATACACTGTCACAAACCGGTTTAGAAAGTCACCAAGTACTGAGTTCACCAGGGACTGGAAGACAGCGGGGGCATTGGTGAGTCCAAAAGGCATTACCAGATATTCGAAGTGACCAAGGGGTGTCTTGAATGCTGTCTTCCACTCATCTCCTTCTCTTATCCTCACCAGGTGATAGGCGTTACGGAGGTCCAGACGGCTGAAAATGGTGGAGTCCTGGATGGGTTCAAAGGTGGAGGAGAGTAATGGCAGAGGATATTTATTACGGACTGTGATCTGGTTTAAACCCCTGTAATCAATGCATGGCCTGAGGGTGCCTTCTTTTTTAGGAACGAAGAAGAACCCTGCACCCAGAGGAGATGAAGAAGGACGAATGGTGCCTGCTGCCAGACAATCTTGTATATACTGTTCCATACTCTCACTTTCAGGTTTTGACAGGTGGTACAGGCGACTTGATGGTAAGGGAGCTCCAGGCAGGAGGTCTATTGCACAGTCGAATGGCCTGTGGGGAGGCAGAGAAGAAGCACGGTCTTTACTGAATACCTGCTTAAGGTCGTGGTAAACCGGTGGAACCGTAGACAGGTCTATGTTTTCCAAGGGAGGAGGAGGGTGATCACGAGCGGTAGGTGAGGCCGAGCGCAGGCAGAGTAGAGAACACTCCGGGCTCCACCCAAGAATCTTGTTCTCCTTCCAGTCCATTGTGGGATTATGACGGACCAACCAGGAATGTCCCAATACTAAGGGGGACTGAGGAGAGGGAAACACATAAAAAGTTAACGTCTCAGTGTGGTTACCTGAAACCCGCAGGTGAAGGGGAACAGTCTGGTGGGTGATGGTGGACAGATTACGGTTATCGAGTGAAGACACTGAGAGAGGTGTAGACAGCTTGGTGGTGGGTATTTTCCATCGTTCCACAAGGTGGGGGTCCAGGAGAGATTGTTCACATCCAGAATCCAATAGTGCCTCAACAGTAATTTGTCTGGAAGGAACAGAGAGCACACAGGGAAAGAAACACCGGGAACCGATAGAAGAGTTACTGCCCACCATTAGTCCCAGCGTTAATGGCGGGCTCTGCCTTTTAACAGAGCAGGGCAGCTATTGACAAAATGCCCAGCGGTTCCACAGTACATGCATAAACCCGACTTCTGTCGGTACTCCCTCTCCTCTGGGGTGAGACGTGTCCTTCCCATCTGCATGGGTTCCTCAGAGGAAGGGGGTTCCGAACCAGGTCGTCCAGAAGTCTTAGAATGACGTTCTCGAGCAGGAAAAACTGGGGGCTCGGGCTCATGTCTTCTTAACTCCCGTTGGCGTTTGTCTATTGATATGGCCAGCCTGATGAGTTCATCCAGAGAGCTAGGTTCAGGACATAAGGCCAACTGGTCCCTCACCTTATCATTTAGTGCTTCGGTGAAGGCTCCAATGAGGGCGTCATCATTCCAGGTGGTACGGGCTGCCAATATACGGAAATCCACCGCCAAGTCCGCCACTGTTTTTCTTCCCTGAGAAAGCTTCAAAAGTTTTTTATTGATGTCTGAGGAGGACTCATAACAGCCAAAAGTAAGTTTTAGTTCCGTTAGGAAGTCATTAAATGACCCATTTAAGAACAAGTCATTATGGCTCCTTGCTTCAGCCCACCTAAGAGCCCTTCCACGCAGAAGACCCACAACATATGAAATCTTGGCTGAATCTGAGGAGAAGGCTGCAGGGCAACGTTCGAAAGCCAATTTACATTGCAAAATGAAGCTATAACATTCCTCGAACTCACCCCCAAAGGTCACAGATGGTGGTGAAGGAGCGACACGGAAATGGGAGTTTTCCATGGGGGAAGTCCCCTCCGATCGCGGAGGTCCAGTGGCTTCAGAGACGGCAGCGGAAGGTCCTACTGGTGGAGGTGGTTGGTGAGGCTGGGAAAGAGATTCATGTATCTGGCGGACCAGGGCTTCCAACTGTGTATAGCGTTGATTAGATGCTGAAAGTTGTTCCATTAATAGCGGAAGGGTCTGTTCCTGTTGGGTCAATCTCTGAGAAATGTTAATGAGTGCCGATTCTGTAGGGTTAGCGTTTTGGCTGGATGATTCTGTCATGTTTTGAGGAAGATGTCTAACCCAAGACATACAGAATCAAGCACGGAGATGATGTAAAGGAAGAACAATAGTTTATTAAAATGTGGAGGTGAACTGAAGGCGTTCTGAAGATCCAACGGGAGGACGAGTCCGGAAGCGGTAACTAGGGGGAAGACCAGAGGTGAGTACTGGGAGTTGTAGTTCGGAGGAATTGTTTGTGGGCGGAACTTACGATGAGGAAGTTCGGGATGAATGCGGAGGGGAGATGAGCCGGGGTGATATCCAGAGAAGACTTGTGATTTCGGGGTGGATGAGCGGTGCTGACGAGGTGGATGAAGATGAGGCAGAGGAGAGAGAGCGTAATCGGTGGAGAGCGGGGCGGCTGGGTGGAGTCGTAATCCAGGCAGCGAACCGGAGAATAATCCTATGGTTTGGAGACGGGAACGGATCCAACGATGGTAAGTCTGTCGGTGAATGTCCAAGAGAGAAAAAAGCACAGGTTAAAACGGGTTCCAAAAGTCTCAAAGGTTCTAAGCTAAGACGAGGTTCGAAAACTACGAGAGGCTTGAGTCTACCAGGCAGTAGATAATCATCCAGCGTCGAACGAGGAAATGCCTCCTCCTTTTAAAGCCGCCCCACTGATGAGTCTGATGCCGATCAGCTGCGCTCCCTCTCCTGCAGGCAAAAAACCTCAGAGATGATGAGATGATGGGCAGAGTACTCACCCCGGCTCATGACACCCACAGCTCAGCAAATGCTTAACTAACTAACTAACTAACTAACTAACTAACTAATACATATTAAAACACATATCAACTTGTCTGTTTTCTGCATTCCATGTTTCGTATTAATTTCTGTTGTTTTGATACATTTTGTTAGGAAATAGAACATTTAAAGGATCCTAAAACGTTTGAGCCAATGACTAAATCCTGATGTCAGAATGAAAATAATGAAGATCAAGATATCCGCCGATATTCCTGTTTTATTCTGGACAACACCAGGATTACTTTCAGAGTCAAACATAATTTCATTCAGTGGCCGTTTTTCGGTGGTGGGCTGTCGCTTTAAATAAAAAGCGTGCCATTAAACTTCATTACCCAGAATGCAATGCCCACTCCGACGAACAAAAACGCGGAAACAAAACAACTTTTTTCTAAACTAACGAGTCGACAGAAAGTGACCGCAGCAGTAGCTGACGACAGTCGGAGTTTACTCAGTAGCTTCTTCTATTACCGCTAAATAAAAAGTCGTAATGGCTTTGAAGAGAATACAGAAGGTGAGAATGACCGTTTTTTCTTTATTTGCGTAAATGTACACGACAGGCTGGAGCTATGCGGAAACGCGGCTGTGGTTAGCCGTTAAATTCGCTGTTAGTTTTATTTTCAAAAATGTTTTTACTGTCGTTACCTTCAGTCAGTCAGCTCACTTAAAGGGGAGTTTAAATGCTTGATAAATAACGTGGTTTAATTGCTTATTTCCTGTTAACGTTTCGTTTCCGCCGCGTGTAAAACAGGATTAGAAACAACTATTAAAATGAGTCCAGGGTTGTATCAATAACATTTCTGACAGTGGAGAGTTGTCTACGCCATTGTTTAAACGTTGCTCTTTGGTGACAGTTGTAAACCGAAATGCTAACTTTGCTAACAACTAATATCCGGCCTTTAAACCCAGTAATGACAAAGCACTTGTTTCGGATCGTGTTTAACCCTTTTCCCCCTCGGTGTTAGTTTGTTAATTGTATCACGTGTCTGAGTTATCAGGCAGATTCTTTTTTTTTTTTATTTTATGTTTTTTTAATTCTTGATTATTTTTTGTTTCTTACAGGAGTTGAATGACCTACAGAGGGACCCTCCAGCTTCATGCTCAGCTGGACCTGTGGGAGAAGACAGTAAGTGTGAGATGGTTTAAGATTTTATGGAAATGTGTATATTTTATCCTCAAATACTCAAATCATTGTGATGTCTTTAAGATCTAATCCTCAATGATCTTCAAATATTTCTGTTAATTTTTCCCCACTGTTAGTGTTTCACTGGCAAGCTACCATCACCGGGCCGGTAAGCTTTTTCTAGATTTGTTTCCAGATTTTTTTCTTTTTTTAAACAAAGTTGCTTCTGGATGTCCATACAATGGTGTTTTATGCTCGTCCTTTTATGTATGGCCAGCTCAGACTGACACACTCTGCTAGTGTTATTCACTGAAGCACACAGCATTGTTGAGACATAAATATTGCTTAGCAATGGTTTGCTCTTCTTTCTTTCAGAATGACAGTCCTTATCATGGAGGAGTTTTCTTCCTGTCTGTCCACTTCCCCACTGATTATCCCTTTAAACCACCGAAGGTATGAATATTTAGTTTGTAGCTGATGCATCAGAGGCATTTTCCAGTGTATTCTGACAGTTTCCAGAGTAAATTGTCATCCAATAGCCTGCACGTCTGTCTGTAGCAGCTTTATTTTTAGGAGAAAAATAGTAATGTTGTGATTTGTGTCACAAATCAGCCATTTATTATTATTATTATTAGTATTATTGACCAATGTATTTATAATATGGGTGTAATGGTACGTTAAAATCGTATTCGGTTTGATTCGGTGTTTTTAAGAGGTACCGTAAATCCTCTAATACAGGCCTGGGCCTGTATTTGACTCAAGCTCCAGGCCTTTATTGGAAGGAGGACCAGAGTTAGAGGCAGGCCTCAATTTCTATTTGAGCAAAATGAACTAATGTTCGCTGGAGTTTTTGACAATTAAAATTGCGCCCAAATTTCTTTTAACAACGGTAGTTTCTGCTTCAGCCCTCTCCCCCCTCCCCCTGCGCAGCACCGCAAACTCACGATGTGCCTGCAGCCTCTCAGTGTTCCTGCTGCTCTAAACATTAAAATAATTATTTAATTTTCTGTTCCTCACTTCTGATTACCTTCAGTGGTGTCTGTTTGTTGCAACCACCAAGTACAAAAACTAACTTGTTTTTATTTGACTATTTTTCTGTCCTGCCTGTTTATTATCTTCCTGCATCTCCTCTCAATCCTAAAGAAAAACTGCTACCTGGGTTCATTTATATTCACCTTATTAGTTACCTTTGAACTGCAGTTCTAAAAGATCTACCGACCGCAAAAACAGCGGAGTGCGCGCTGCTTGGCGGCCGCATCAGTGATCGGTGCGTCACTGGATGACAAGTTGATGTGCCCCGCTCCACAGCAGCGAAACGCATCAGGCGCAAATAAAAGACAGAAAACATAAAAGGAAATGAGCCGACACAAACGATCGCGTGTTAAATTAGTTTTTGAGGTGGCGACACCTGATTTGATAATGTTACTGTGGCCGTGCTCAGGTCGCAGATGTCTGGAGCGCGTCAACAATCAGAGCTTTGCATGCGCAAGCTGGTTAAGGTTAGGATGGGGGTGAGGGGAAGGTTAAATTGCAAGAGGGTAAAGGTCACAATTTGGTTAAATGTCCGTTTTACGGCGGGTGTCAGTACCGACGCTCTGACACAGCGCGTTGCCTCCCGACGCGCAGGAGCTTGTCACCTGCTGACAGCAGGCTGCTGTCTTTTCCGTGGACTGCATCTTGCCGGTCATTATCATGTGACAGAGACTAGTCGATGCCAGACATAAAAATTCACTATAGTGAAGTCGACTAGTTCATACTAGAGCCCTGTGCTGGACTGTTTTCTTCATCCCGCTCCTGCTCGCTCCCGCTGAATTTCTGACCATTACTGCCCGCAACCGCAACGTATGTGTTACACTCCCGCCCGCACCTGCAGCGTGCATGTCTACTCCCGCCTGCAACCACAAAACTCGGAGAAATTATTACCTCACAATAAAAGAGATGTAATGAGTTTGCGTCCTCTCTGGTCCTGGAGAAAACATGTCATTTTATAGGCTATACCAGGGGTCGGCAACCCGCGGCTCTTCCATCCATCTGATGCGGCTCTCTGTGCTTGTAAAATAATGAATGGATATTTAAATAAAATGCTTTATATTTTACTGAAAAATTTTACATCTGTATGCCAATTCTATGTAAAGATTGTCTGCATAAACCTGAACAGTTCCAACCCGGTCTTACTGTGAGACCGGGTTGACGGGTCACGCTTGTGCGTAATCATATGCGCTTTCTGAGCTGACGAGGATGTCAGATTCTGGGCTTCTCCTCAGACGGCTCCTGGATGTGTCGCCACATTGGAGACAGGAACAAGCACTATTCAGCCAAAGTTTCATAATCGGGGAACATTTTCTAAGTGACAAGTCTCTCTGAGAGACCGGGTTTGGAATACACTCGCTTCAGTGGGAGGAACCTTCCCGCATGCGCTCTGGTTCTGCGACGCGCTCCAAGCCAATCTCCACAACTTCAGCTCGCTGTGCACATATGCGCTGACAGTGAGCTGCGCTGAGCAGTGTCCAGCTCAGATGTTCAGATGGGAATCTTTTCTTGGGTGATTTAGCTACATCTGCGATGTGCGTGGAATAAAATGTCAGTTCGTCTGCATGCGTCGGGGTAATTCTTTCTATTCTTTCTCTGTCAAAATAAACGGTCAAATACGGGAACTGTCCGGTCAACACAACACAAGCCCTGCTTTTTACTGTTCTGTTTTCTTGTGAAAATTGTTGGAAAGAGATATAATTTAACTTGATTACCACCAGAGCCAGTGCGCCGTCATCTCCGTGACGGTAAATGAGGGAAAAACAAATTGATCGGATCCTGCACGCCTTTTAACACATTGGTCAGGATTGACACACTTTGTTTTCATGTAGTTGGTTAAAAAAAAGTCGGGCTCGGGTCGGGCCAGAGAATCCTGAAAACCTTTTCGGACCGGGTTGGGCTGGGGCTCCACCCCCTCGGGCTGGGCCAGACACAGGCTCAGATTTTAGGCCCGTGCAGGGCTCTAGTCCAGACTTTATTTATTTTTAAAAACTAAATAAAAAAATATCTGTACTGTCTACATTATACCACATAAGACTATAATTCTTATTGATTTCTTAACATTATTCTTGAAAGGAGGAAAACTCCAGATTCTGGTTTTAAGAGTTGGAGCCATACGTGTGTAACATCACACACGCCATTTTACTTATAACTATAACTGATGTAAAATCATTTAAATTCCATCTACGGGTGTGCCATATCATTCATGAAATTACCAGTATTTTTACCAGTAATTTTTATTTGCCCCAAAAAAGATTTTAATTTGATGTCATAATTACATCAACTACACAACGCGGAGTTATTTTTTAATTTTATTTATTCTTTATTTAACCAGGAAGGTCTCATAAAGATTAAAAACCTAATTTTCATCTCCTGGCCTAAAGGCAGCAAAAGATGCATTTACAAAATGACTCTGTTACACAGATAAAGTTATTTACACAATTATAGAAAGCAGTAATGCAGGGAGTCAGTCTCAAGTTCTCTCGATCTGGTTTTAAACCGATGCAAGGAAATAAGGTTGGTAATTAAAGTTGTGAAGTCAAAAATGGCTGGAATCTCACAGGATTCACTCTTGTCAGTGAGTAGGGGTTAGATGCAAAATAGTTTCTGACGTGTTTTGATTTACTTGACTTTAATATATGTATTAGAATGGGGCAAAGCATATTGATGGATGTACAAATAATGTAAATATGCCACAGTTAGCAAAAACTAGTTTCCATCTGCTGTCCCGTAGACATGGAACGCACACATTACATGATGGATAAGAGAGAAATGTGGCTGCTGCAGTACTCTGTATTATTATTATTATTATTATTATTAATATTTCTTTATTTTCACAGGTTGCCTTTACAACAAAAATCTACCACCCGAACATAAATGGCAATGGCAGCATTTGCCTTGACATCTTGAGGTCGCAGTGGTCACCTGCACTAACAATATCCAAAGGTGAATAAAAATGTACATCTACCTGTGAAATCCAGGAGGTTTTTTTTTACAGTGGAAGGGAATTTCAGAGATGATCAGAGCATTCGAGCCGTTTTCACAAGCGATGTTAGGAAGGTGCTGACGGTTTAGTGTGAACGTTTTCAGCGTTTGCTCTTGACACATTGATTTCACAGTGAGAGGCTCTGCTGAATATGTGCTCTGGGAGGACGAGGGTGGAGGTGAGCATCTGGTGAGAGTGCAGAGGAGGCAGGATGTAATGCATAAGTAAGCTGGGAGTTGCTGTTTTTTTTTAAGTACAAGAATTACAGTTAGGATGTTGTAGTTGACCTTTTTTCTGTATCAGCACCACCTGTTCTTGAATGCATCTGTATTGTCTAGAAGGTTCAAATGAACATTTATCACGGCAGGGAAGTGCACTGAGTAGCATTACTCACACCTGCTCACTGCCACACTCACTGAAAATGCATTGGAAATTGAGTTTTACACGATCTCTTTAGAGATGCTCAAATGTTTCCAAGCTTTTTGTTTTGTTTGTTTTAACTGGCAGAAAAATCTTAGAAAAGAGTTGAGAGCAAATTGGGCTGATATTTATTTATTTTATTTTTTTTATAAACCATCCAACTGTGGTTATTGTGGGGGAAAAGGCTAAAAGGTCACACAGCATGTGTGAAAATGGCTCCATTAGGGCTTTAAGCAGGTGCTGGTAGGATGAGGTGTTTTGTTGGCTGAAACAAGTCTGCCAAAGCATTTTTCTGAGACTAAACTCAGATTTATCATTCTTGAACAACTTGTTTTGATTGTCATTTCTGTGGAGCTGGTTAACTTACTACTTCAGGATTGTTTTGTTTGAAAGCTAATTATGTTTTTTTCCCCTTCCAGTTTTACTATCCATTTGCTCTTTGCTGTGTGACCCAAATCCGGATGACCCGCTGGTCCCCGACATTGCACATATCTACAAATCAGACAGGCAAAAGTGAGTATTGGAGAACTTGGCTCATCAGAAGACAAACGACTGCATTTGCTTTAATCGTGTCATGTCTGTTCCTAAAGGTACAACAAACTGGCTAGAGAATGGACCCAGAGGTATGCAATGTAACGGAGTGAAGACGCAACAAGGCCTCGCCTCTCACAACTCCTTATAACATGACAGTACTGTTCGACTGCTTTATCCTCACTGGCTGTAGCTGAAGTGTTTAATACACATAAATGCACTTTCTCTTCCCAAATTTTACTTGACCCGTTTTATTTTATTATTTTGGCATTACTGGTATTATTTTGATCACTGCTGAGATGGAGTGCTTGTGTTTTTCTTTTACAAATGTGTATTGTTCATGACTGTATTTTGAATAATCTTAAAATAAAAATAAGATTCATTAAATTCATTCCTTTTTATAATTTACCCCCCTGCAGCACCACTAATTAAACAAATGGGACCAATGATTTCTGCAGATTTCAGGGAATATTTGGCATCCATGTGACCACTAGATGGCAGACTTTGCTCCTCACTAACCAAGCTGACGTGATGCGTTTTCTCTCGAGTAATTAATTATTCATATTTATGCAACATTATTTTCAGGTTTATTTACCAAATAATTATTTGTGTCTGTTGCTTCTGTAGCATTTTACTTTTGTGTTAAAAGAAAGTGTTTTACTTTTGACTGAAATTAAGCCACCCATTCTAATGTTCACCAGATGAATGCACATTATTTTTCTTCAGTAATAAAATCCAAACCCAGTCCCCTGATGTAATTAAGACTCACAACTTCTCTTTTAGCTTCGTGAACCTTCAAACTTCACTGGACACATGATTAATTCTAACTTGAGTAAAAAGTATTTATCTAACACGATTTTAGATAGAAAAACAAAAATCTAGATTAACTCAAGTGTATAATCACCCGTATAGTGGTCTATGTGTATGAACAGGATGCTTTTTATACACTTAATCAACACTTTTCATGTTATAATGATGTATTCTGATGCAGTAATCAAACTGAATTACTTTAATCCTAATGTTCCTTTTAGATTAAATGTTTAATTTTTATGAAGAAAAATCCAATTCACATTGTCCACACCAAGACAAAAACATTTGTTTTTGCGTTTTAATTTCTGGCACTAAAGGGCGTAATATGATGTAATACAACAATATATTTTAAATGAAACACGCCTTTCCTTAGCTACTTTAATTTATTAATTTTGAAACAAAGACAAAATACTTTTTGTTAATTTTGGTGTACATTTCAGTAAGCTATATGGACTAATGGTTAGTAAGATTTTATAAAGGAAATTTAAAGTAAATACTCGCCACAGGTTAAAAAACATGGACAGTTTTGATTCCTTCTAAAGTCACTACAATTAAAACGTTTTAGATCACTTGAAAATGTCTTATTTTTTTGTTTTGTTTTTGAATAAGAGAAGTTGTTCTTGCAGTTCACAATTTTATCAATTAAAATTGTTGGAATTTTTGAAAGAAAGATCTACGTTTTTGCAAAGAGGCCTACTATTTTTTTCCAATAAAAATAACTTGTGTTGTTTGGATGTCCTGGTCATTTGCAACATTTTACTTTCAGACTAAAGTCACGGGTGTTTTCATGCAAGCTTACTGAAAAAAAAATCAAAGTGATCTCAGATATTTTATCTGTGCTGTGACCTGTGTACAGACCGTTTGAAATACTGAAACACTAATTTCATTTTCAATGCATTTTTAAGTAAAAGCAGCTGCAAAACTTACAAATCAATGTTTGTTTCTACATAACGTGCAAGCAAACGTATTAATAGTGTAAAATATTAAATGAACACAACTAAATGTGAAATAAATACCTTAAAAAATAGCGTTCGTGTCTTGTCCAATAACAGCAAAATCATTGTCTCACCACTAAATAAAATGACCCACTTAGACGTTTTTTCACTACAAAAAGCTTCTTCCACGCTTGTTTTGGTTCGTTTCCTGGATTGCTTCTCCAGAAACACTGCAGCATTTCCTATGAGTCGAATGGAACGTCATCATCACAAATGACTCTAGATTCATACATAGTCCTTTGAAGGCTGTGATGGTTTATTTCCCCCATCCTCTATAATAAACATAAATGAAACCAGCGTCTTTCTCGGAAACATTTGGAGATCTTCGTAGGCGCTCGGGGGAAGTGGATGTTTTGAAACTTTCTGGGAGGAGTCCTGACTTTTTTTTCTTTTTTTTTTAAGGCTGACACGTGAAACTTTCCCGAGGAGTTGGTTGGTATGCGTGCTGCTGCGAGGCGCTCCGTTAACTGCACACGGACAACATACATACAACCTTTGGATCGGTGAGACTATTTTTAGAAGCCTGTCCGATGGGGGAAAACGCAGGAAAACTCCCAACTCTTCTGCCACGAGTTTGCACGATGCAGCCAACTGACGGAATATAAACGTACCAGACGTCCACTGCTTAGTTTTTTTTAGTTCTTCTTTTCGTACATCGCAGTGGCCCCTGGAGAAGTTGCCGCGCAGCACCATGGCTGCCCAGTGCGACACTTTAAGCGGATACTTGCAGCAGTCGGACCAGGGCTCCAACAGCGAGCGCAGCACAGACTCTCCCATCCCCGGTTCAGAGGAGGACCTCAGCGGCCCGCACCCGCTGCCAGACCCGGAGTGGACCGAGGAGAGGTTCCGTGTGGACCGTAAGAAGCTGGAAGTCATGTTGTTAGGTAAAGAAAACTTCTCTTATTCTGCGTAAATGCCTTCCAGGTTGTCTATTTTTTCCATTACTTGTATAAAATGTAGCTTTTAGTGTCCAACACGCCAGATATTTGACAAAAGAAAACCGAACGGTGTCATCATTCATGCTTCAGAAATGTCAATTGAAGCTATTAAGACCAATTATTGGGTTAATTGCTTCAGTTCAAAATGTAGGGGCCAAATTATTAACCAAATAAATAATCTTAATAACAGAATACTGAACAATGCGGTTTTCTTTGCAGTTACACGGTTGTTTTAGAAGTTTTAAAATTAAAGACTTCAAAGTAGTTTCACTTCTAATGCATCAAAGGCTTCACACGCATTAGCGCGCTCTGACCACCAGGCGTCGCTGCAAAAACTCCCTCGTTCTAAATCTAAACGGAAGTTTCCTGAACCTTCAGGTTTCTCTGTTTTCAGCAAGATTCCGTTATCAAGAAGTGAATCTGCGAGTTTTACTAGTATTTTGCACAAAAATATAAAATTTAATGATAGCACTTGTATTTAATTTATTGCAAGCATGGCATCTATTGTCAGATTTGACCTCTTCTGCTTTTGGGGTTAGGGTTAGGTATGATCTTGAACATACAGGTTTCCACTCATTTTCCCAGTTATGTTTGGTACTGAATGCAGGTTCAGTTTGGGATGTATGTGTTGCAGTGAAAAGTTCCAATGAAAGGAGTCCAGAATAGGTTCTGCAGAGGGGTCCTTTGATTTCAAAAGGCTAAGGTCACTTATCATACATTTTGAAATACTTGAGTGTCTAATACTTCACCATTGGGTAAGAGGAGTGGATTCTTTATCAGTTTTGCAGAAAGACACTGAGTTGGGCCTGTGAAGCAGCCAAACAGCTTTTATTAGTCAGGAGCATGTTGAAAAGAAAATTGGACGGATATTAAGTGTGTCAACATTGCTGATAACCGTGTGTATTTATTTTTTGTTCTCATTAGTCATTATATAGATATTTTAATGTGTCATGTTTAGGAAAGCAGCTCTAACACACACACACACACACACACACACACACACACACAGACAGATGTGTCGTTGCTCACATGTAGCTCCTCTGGAGAATGTCCTGCTTGCTGCCTCGCAGTTCGAGACATTCCTCAAAGCTCCATGTCATCCCAAACTCTTCCAGGAAAACAACTTAACCAGAGGCCGGCCCTGGATCCAAGTCCTCCGGACATACCATGTGCCACGTCACATGGCTTACTGAAATGTCTGTTGTTTATGCCTGTGCACTTTTGTGTATAAAACTTAATAATTTTGCTTAAGTGAGTCTCAACAGTTTGTTAGTTCGGTCTGTCATTTCTGCCAGCATCCTGTTTCCCAGTTGCTCCTTGATGACATCATTGCCGACTCACATCATGTTGACATTGCAGCTCGGATGCCGAGTAGAAGCGGCTGTTGTGCTCCAGTCTCTGGTCTGCCATAGGTGAAAGTTTAAATGCCGTGCTTTCTCAGCCATGACCTTTGACCTTTTGCTCTTCAGCAAATCGAGGTAATCTTGATTAATGTCATCTACCTTGGGTATGTCTCTTAGATGTTACAAAGTCCTAGAATCTGTTGAATTTGTAATGACCTGGATATGTTTCAGATCACTTTGGATCAAATCTTAGTTTTTTTTTTTTTATTTTGCTCTGTAGGTGTAAATTCCACCCCTAACAAATGGCTCTTTCAGCCTCATCCACTTAGCTCACACCTTTCTAACATCTGGGTCTGTTTTGATTGGATAACTTTTAGATTAGGATGTGGTACAAAGTGTTCTGAAGGTCAGAGTTTGGCCCGTACTGAAATAACTTCACGGGAACTCCAGTATATTTCTTTATCCGGCCTTATATTGTCTGTGACAATATCTCTGGTTTGTCTTTCCCGGAAAATGAAGTGTGACTTGACCTTCGTGAAAGAGCCACAGATCAAATCATGCTGCGATTACTTTTCTCATAATATTTCTGGCTGTTGGCTGGATCTGGGTAATGTGGCTGCATGAGTTTGGCTTAGCAGGGCTTTAGCCACCATCTGGATCGGGATTAAAAAACATTTAAAATTTGGTTTTAGATGTTGGAACAATGCTAGACATTGGAAACTTAAAACTCTGAAATCAGACTCCTGCTTCTACAATCACTCCTGCTAGCAGTTCTGGTGTTAGGGGCCGACCTTCGTAGAGAAAGCTTTGTTATGGTTTGGTGTAGAGCAAAAATGAATTTGTGCCCACCTTAAATAAAAACCCATCAGATTGTTTTTTTTTTCCCCAACATACATTTGTTTTGACATATAAGTCCTTTAACATTTTAGGATTATTGCGATGGGAACCCAATCTTGTAAGGAACACTCCTGTTATCTTTGCAAATCACCATTGCTGCCTTGGCAGCTTTGGTCTAGTCTGAATGATCAGATTTGGTAGAGACGAGGAAATGAACATGAGAAACTACAATGTGCTGTGAAAGGGCAAGATCAAATACATGAATGCAGTGCAGGACTACATTTCTGACCCCAGTGCCTTTCTCTTCAGAATTCTAAACTTTTTTCTTTTGGAGTCACGGGTTGGAGCATAACGCCCGGAACACATCAGCTGCGAAGCGGATCTCTCACGAAATTCTCTCACTGCCCGCTGCTCCTCTGTTCACATCAGGCGAGAATTTTCGATGAGCGCTTCTGCTCACTCCTACAGTTTCCCAAACCCCCCCCCCCCCCCCCCCCCCGTTTTTTGAAAAATGTCTTTATTTGGTTAAATATTACTCGCCTGTCTCTTCTGTTTTGGTTTGACTTCCTGCCAGAATTGATGCAGCTCAGTCATGGCTTGCGACAACAATGGAGCTCACGCCGAAAAGATTGCTGCATGGTGCGAGCCTTCATCGCGCTTCGCAGCGCTATGCAGCTGATATGACCGAGACCGTAGGTTAACAAGGGCGCTGAATAGAAGCGCTTGGCGCTCCACGGCGCTTCGTGGCGCATCGTCGTACTTCCGCGTCTGATGTGTTCCGGGCGTAAGGCTTTAACAGTTCAGTAATACAAGGAGAAGCTTAGCCTCGTAGAGCCTTGAAAGTTATAGTCAGGATTCAACAATGACGTCTAAACTTAATGGTTAACCAGTGCAGGGACATTAGAATAGGAGTGATGTGAGCTCTTCTGTTTGCTCCAGTTAGGAGCCTCGCTGCAGAGTTCTGGACCAATTGAAGGTGGCCAAAGGCTTTTTTGTTAAAACATGTGAAATGTGTGTTACAGTAATCTAGACAGGAGCAGATAAAGGCATGGATAACCATGTCAAGTTCGTGTTTTGACACCAACCTTTGCAGTTTGGAGATGTTTCTTAAATGATAAAAACCGTTTTGGACCAGCGTTTGAGTGGCCTTCAAGACACATTGATCAGAATCCTTAAAGGAGATGTACAGCTGAATTATCATCGGCATATAGGTGATAGGAGACATTATGACAATAATGAATTATCTATTTAAGAGGGTGCATATATATAGTAGAAACCGGAGTGGACCCAAAATTGTGTTATGGGATACCCCACAGAACAGATGGGTAGAATCTGACATGATTTGGGTTAGATAGACACTTCTGCTAGAAAGATACGACCTAAACCAGCCTAGAACAGTTCCAGTTCCAAAATAGTGATTAATAGCTAAATTACAATAAAGCTATAGTTGTTGTTGTTCCGAGCTTCATCCCGGGATGATGACAGCAACACGGAGAGCGACACTGACTGAGAAAAGGTATGTGACGAAGCTCTTCTGAGGCTGTTCAACTCCCGACACTGAAGAAGATGATGACTTCAGTGGTTTCAGTGTGCAGGAGGACGATGAATAAACGAATCAATAACTTTTCTGTTTTGTTTGATACTGATCAGTTCAGTTACGTTCAGTTAAACTACGTTTTCAATTCAGTAGATATCTGCGGCTTTTAGCCCGGTGCGGCTTGTATTGAGGTGCGCTCTATAGTCTGGAAATTATGGTACATTTATTTTTTTGGAGCAACTATGAACTCTAATCTGCTTATTAAATCAGTGCTTTTGCTACGCTTTATAAAAAATTATCTTTAATAACCCTTGAGAACATTTGGTACAGCAGATGAATTACCACAGTATTTTCAGTGAACCTTCTTGCCAGTGGTAAATGTATTTGATATAGCACCTTCTAGAGTTCTGGTCCTTCCGACCACCACCAGCGGGCAAGGCAGGTTTAGTGTCTTGCCCAAGGACACAACGACAGCGACGGACTGAGTGGGGCTTGAACCTGCAACCTTTCGATTATGGGGCGAACACTTGACTCTTGTGCCACCGTGGCCCCCAAGTGCAGTAGTATCTAAGTCCTTGGGCCATAATGGAACACATTAAGACTTTGAAGTATTTAAGCAAGCTCCCAGTCATAAACTGTGCTGTCTCCAATAGTAACAGATCAGAGTAGGTCTGATGGAAGCAGTGTGACAAGAGTAAATTATGGTGAGTAAAAATCACCTCTTTCTGTGTTCCCAATTAGGGCTGTCGCGGTTGAGGAATTCCCCCTGCGGTGATTCAGGGTGGCTTAATATTGCGGTGTGCGATATTATTGCAGCATTTTCTTTTTATTGCAGTACTATCTAAACATAATGTTTACACATTTAAAAAAGGTTAAAAATTGCCATGCCTTCTTTTATAACACTTTACTGAATGCAGATCAAAGGGCAGTAACAACACAGATCGCAGTAACGTTTGTTTCTCCGACAGTCGGAGTCCGACTGAACTTAAAAACAACAAAATTCAGGAGAAGGTTAAACTTTTAAATGCAAATTTGGCTGCCACATCTAACAAATAAGAAACAAGTCCCCATTTTGTTTAGTTGTTTAAAATCAAGCATAAAAAATTACATGTACCGGGCGCGCGCGCGCGCCGGGGTGGGGGGTGGGGGGGGGTGGCGCACTATCATTTCACTTTCACACACACGAATGACGGTGATTTATAGCTCGATCACGTCCTTGTTACCCACAA